GATACTTTTCCAAATATTTTTCTGAATGTTGAAATTTTTCATTGCCTATCATGTCATTATAGATATGGTCATATTAGACCTTAAGCAAACAAAACACCTAGAAGCTGACTACCTCAAGGGAAAGAATAACAGCAGCCTTTTCAAGAATTATATTTCTTTCCCACCGCCATTTCATTTCCTGTGAAAAATGTCATGCAGAGTATATGAAATTTCTCTTCTCTTGAGATGCTTAAGGCTTTTGTTTGATTTTCCTTTGACAGTGAACTTTCTTAATTGGTGCACCAGGGACTAACAGGTAGATTAGAATTCCATAGCTCTCAGATTTCATTTTTCTGAGGTTTTGAAATGCATTCTTCAGTATTAAAAAATTAAAAAAAAATAATTGTATATCAGGATACAGTAGTATTTTTTATGAAAATTCAGAGTTCATATTTATAAGATGTTAAAATATATATTCACAAATTAAAATGACTATGAGATGAAACAGACATAAACAAAAATATAAGCTTGATGCAGACTAAACACAGATTGATCTGTGTAAGTATCCTTTTCTCTTTTCTGTGTACAAACTGAAAGATATTTTCTAAGTTGCTTATCATTTTACACACACACATATACACACACGGATATTAAAAACTTTATTGTCAAAATAGAATATAGAACATAAAACAATTTGAAAAACACAAATATATGTCTGTTGCATGCATTTTTTATTATCTTAGATGATGACACCCATTTTTTATATCTAGTGGTTAAGCAATTCTCATTTGTGCATCTAAAATTATAGCTATCATAAGAGACAAACCTAGTTTCTCTCATCCAGTAATCTCAACCTCAGTTTACAAGTTAGTCAATATTTTCAGTGTCATTTTGTGTAATTGTTTATAAATCTTCTGGATACCATACATTCTATCTGGCGCTTATCTGGAACGTTACTGTCTCTGTTCTTGGAAAACAGTAATTAATTTTCAGTGTGTCAGGAATCATGACTAATTGTCATAAACTGTATATGTAAATCTCATGTAATAAGGGACTTCAGAAGTGACAAGATTCTTGCTTTATAGCTGATTTTGCTTCATAGCAAAGGCTCTCTGTTAGAATGCAGTATTGCAGGCTAATTCTGCCAGTGCTAGCAGTTCGATTCTTGCCAGCTCACAGTTGACTCAGCCTTCCATCCTTCTGAGGTCAGTAAAATGACCCAGATTGTTGTAAAGTACTGTGAAGTGGTATATAAGTCTAGGTTGGGGATTGGCAACCTGCGGCCCCAGAGCTGCATGCGGCTCTTTGGGCCCTCTGCTGCAGCTCTCTGTCACCCTATTGCAGCAGAGGGATGGAAAGAGCCATTGCCCTGTCGAATTTTAGTCCAGGAGCAAAGTGTCCCTTGCGCTTGTCTTTGCGTGGCAACAGCATTCTGCCTTTGTCACACTGTATTTGCTATTGCTGCCAGCAAAGAGGGCTGGGAGAGAATGGTAGGGACAGATCTTGCTGGGTGGGGGCCATCCCCAAGCCTGGCCTTCCTCCTCCTTTATCGGTGGGCCCCAGAGAAAGAAGGGGGCAGTGTGTGGAAGCGCTCCCCTCCCCCATTGAGCTCCAAGAACAACAGACCAGCGGGAGAGGAAAATGGCCGCTGGGTTAGAGAGGGAGACAGATTCAGCTCAATTCGCTCTGTCTGCTCTCCTCTCACCGCCTTGCCCAGTTTTGCAAGGATTCAGCAGACACTGCCTTGGTGATGGGGGAGAGAGTTTCGTCCCCATACTTTGCAGCCAAGCATCTTCGGGGGCACCCAGGGATATTTTCCGGCCACTTTGGACTAAATTGCAAGATGCATATGCGTATGTGTGTGTGTGAGTGTGCTGCTGGTTGGGATTATGCTTCTCTGAAGTGCGTGCGGTGATCTACAGCCTGACAGTCACTCCTTTTGCAATGCAAGGTTTATTTTGTATCTTTCCAGAGATAGAGAGAATGTGGTCGAATTTCCTTACAGTTATTCCCTGGGTGTGTAGGTTGGGAAGTGGGGGTGGGGAGTGGGAAGAAGAAGGAAGGGAGGGAGAGAGGGAGGGAGAGAAGGAAATTGAGAGGGGGGGGATGAGAGGGAGAGAGAGAGAGAGAGAGAGAGGAAAAGAGAAACAGATGAGAGAAAGAGATAAGAGAGTGGGAGGAAGAGGGAGACGGAGAAAAAGAAAGAGAAGAGAGAAAGAGAGAAATGAGAGAGAGGGATGAGAAGGAGATAGAGAAAGAGAAAGATGAGAGGAAGGGAGGGAGATAGAGAAAAAGAGAGATGAGAAAGAGATATGAGAGGGAGGGAGGGAGGGAGAGAGACAGAGAGAGGGAGATACCTATTTTCCATAGAAAACACGAGCAGCCACAAAACCTGGGTAGGCGTGGATGATGCGACTGGGTGAGAGTGAGTGACATCGAATTGGCCACGCCCAGCCATGTTTTGTGGCTCCCAGTGTTTCCTTTTCTGTGGAAAACGGGCCCAAGTAGCTCTTGTGAGTGTTTAAAGTTGCAGACTCCTGGTCTAGGTGATATTACTATTGCTATTGATATTTGGTTTATCTATGAGTCCAAATAGGAAAAGTTCTGGTTTCATCTGAATGTTAATTTTTAAAACACTGTATATCACCATATTTATTTGTATCCAGTATCTTTTCACTTTTTCACAAATCCATCATGCATGATAAAACATCCTCATTTTCTGCAACAATTAGAAATCCTTTTATACATCTTAGACAGTTTTTCCACTATCATATACCAAAGGTGCATCATTTTTTTAAAAAAAATTCTTTTTTAATTTGTAAGAAAATTTGAATTTCAAACAATTTAACTACATTTTCTCCCATGATCCATTTGAATGTTATAACCAAAATTCTTGACCCATTTTTATCATAAATTCTTTAACTTGTTCTACTTTTGTTTCAAAACTCAGCAAAAATTTAGACATTTTTGCAATCACATATTCATTTGTAGGTAAGGCACTTTCAAATTCTCTTTTACCATATACAATTCCTGGTGCTTTTTATCTGTACCAAAACCTTTAATTGGGTATATGAGAACCCGTTAAAAACTAAATCACTCTGCATATAATTGTTCTCATGATTTCATCTTAAACTCCATTTTCTTATTTTAGCAAATCTTCATAAATTAGCCATTCTTTGCCCACTTTTTTTTTCTGTAAAATGCCTCTCAAGCTGAGCCCAACAAAGATATTTTTAGACATAGCCTGGGTCTTTAACTATCCCATAATCAAGTCTAATTAGTATATTCTAACTCTTCTGTATTGAACTCACTGAGTAAAGTGTGAAGCCTTTTCTTTAATTTCTCTCCTTACTTAAGCAGCATTTTTTTTTACCCATTACATGGTAATACACTTGAATGTTGAGATAAACAGTATAAAATTTTGTTCTAAATATTCAGAATATGTTTTGTGTTTTATCAGTTTTTTAAAAAAACTTTGGCACATTCATTTTAAAAAAAACTTCTGGCGCATTCCAATTAGTTTTCACTCCTGGCAAGTGCCTGTACAAGTTTCTGCAATTTTCTTGGCAAGTTTTTAGAAGTGGTTTGCCCTTATTTCAATCCTAGAGCTAAGACAAAGCGACTGGTCCCCCCAGCTGGCTTTGTTGCTATGGTAGGACTAGTCTCCTGGTTTCTAGTCTGAAGATCAACTCAGTCCTTATGGCCTCGTTTCTGTGGGGAATAGAGAGAGGTGCAAAGTTGAGTGGTTTCTCAAGAGCCACAACTGTACAGCTATTAGTGCTGCTGCTGCTACTACTACTATACTACTGTGGTACAGAAATCTGCTGAATCATAACTTTTTAAAGTTTTTTTTTAAACCCTTCATAAGCTAGTGGACTAGTTTACACAGTAACTGAATGTAGGCTCTAACTTTTCAGTCAGCTAGAGATAAACCTATAAGAGCTGCTTATTATTATGATTATCATTATTATAAGTTTATTGTACCTTTTTAATATATAACTCAAGATGGTGAACATACCTAATACTCTGCCTTCCTATTTTCCCTACAATAACAAGCCTGTGAAGTGGATGGGGGGCGGGGAGGAGAGCGCGAACGAGACAGAGACAAAGACAGAGACAGACAGACTGGCCCAAAGTCATTCTGTCAATTTTCACGCCTAAGGTGGAACTAGAACTCAGTCTCCTAGTTTCTAGGCCAGTGCCTTCACCACTATACCAAATTGCAAGATTTCTTACTTGCAGGATTTCACTTCCTGCTTCTTGGTCTCTCCTTTTGCGGATTCACATGGTAATTCAGATTCAACATGAAGAAACAGCCAGATTTGCTCTAAGTAAGCTTCTTTAATAGGGTTCCTTGGTATTGCTGAATAGGGTATATAACGAAGAAGACATTCCTGTCTGTAAGAATGCTTGTACATAAGATGTAATTAGCACCGTGATGGTGGACCAAAGGCATGCATGCCGGAAGTGGCACGCAGAGCCATTTCTGCTAGCATGCGAGCAGTCGCCCGGAACAGATCCACTGTGCATGCATGTACGCCTCCCGCCAGCCAGCTGCATGCGGAGGGGGATGGGGCGTTCATGGGGGTCACATGTGCAGAGGCACGCGGTACGCATGGGGGGCGTCACACATGTGTAGGGGTGGGGGGGTGTTGCACGTGCATTGCATTATGGGTGCAGGCGTACATATGCACACACACACACACTATTTTGGCACACAATGACAAAACGGTTAGCCATCATTGAATTAGCACATGTAACCCTTTAAAAAGAAGGGCTTGGGCGACAGTGAAGGCAGTCTGTTCTCTCAGCAAAATATCCTTGTGTTCCTTTTTTAAAAAAATATCCCTTGGTAGTAAATGGATTGACAAGAAGCTGCTTGTAATCCAGATTAGTCAATTTCACATTCGATTAGTATTGTATAGAAGAAGAGGAAGTTACAATAATTAGGTATTTAGAATGAGAATGAATTTGGTTTCCCTGATACAATGAAGCTTCCAATAGTTATCAATCTACCAATAGGAGAGAGAAGTTGTTTGCCACATGATACCATTTCTATTGTTTTTTCCAATAATCATAATTAGAACATAGCTGAATGACCTGTTGAGACCACTTGTTGAGATTTATGATTGATTAAGTCATTTCCAACTGGGTCTCATAGCTTACGCCTCTGTTACTATCAACCTTGCTGCACAGAAATGATGGAAAATGCAACATAGGGGATTGTCCAAATAGTCAATAGTGTTTTTCTGTGACACAGTATTGAAAATGATTTATGTAGTAATTAATAATTATATGCAATCACTGTTCTAAATGTGAAGATGTTTCCCCCCATTTTTCTGTATAACTAAGTTCTGAGTGTTTATTTCTTAGCTGTTTGCAAGCTTTAGCAAGAAAGGAAATAAGTAAATAATTTGTATGGTGTTTATGCCTAATGCAAAAAGCACAAATAATTGATCTGTCATTCAAAAGGATCCCTTGCCTAGTGAGTGTTGGGCAAAGATGCTCGTGCTTCCCTATAAAATGAGCATATTTCAGCCAAAGTAATTTAAATATAATTTGAAACTCAGATGCTTCATTGAAAGCAGCTTAGTTCTGCACTCTAAAAGCAGGATTCTTGTTTATATGGAGTACTGCCTATGTTTGTAAAAAGAAAAAAGGGCCTGGCAAGTAGGCACCCAAATATACATACATATGGAACAGAGTATAGCATATTGCCTCCTGCATTCTGTGCCAGGGCCTGGTACAGGATTTGAGCCTGTCAACAGCTTTTGTAGTTACAGAGATAGGAATGACTCATTCTGGGGGTCCTCAGAAATCCGAAGAGAACGTATGTCTGCAGTTGACCAGATTGGAGATTAACATAGTTGAATAAATGCCCATTTTTATACATTTCTGCAGATACAGCTCAGTATCTGCAGAAATTACAGTATAAAAATGAATACCCATTTTCTTTACTCTGAGATTAATTGATTATGGAGGGACAGCTGCTAGATAAAAAAAAAAACATTTGCAATTCTTAAATCGGATGTTGTGTTTGATTAATGCAATAGGCATCTTACTCCAAGAAAATAAAAGAATGTTTTGGATCGTGGAATTTGTTGTCCGTGAACAGAAGTTACTTTCAGTCACAGAGCACAAATATATGATGGAAGCAAGCATGTGACATGTATTAAATATGGCTGAAATCTGGGTGGATAAGAGCATGGACTTTTTTTTTAAAAAGTAAAAACAATAACAACAAGAACAGCCCAAAAAACCCTACATGGCTAGAGCTCAGCTATGTTAATAAGAAAATATGGGAAAAAATGAGGTAAGGATAACTAGGCCTAAAAGTCCAGTATAAGGAAGATATGTTAGAAATCCATAATTACTCCCAAGGGGAAAAAAAAAATGAAAGAGGAGAAAATGCAACTTGTTTTGTAACTTGAGGAAGGTGATTTTACTAACTTGATTATTTATGACATATACTTTTCAGCTGAAATAGTTCCATCTGTTTCCAGGGTTCAGAATTTGCTGTAGAGTCAGCAATTACATAACATGCCTCTCCTAAAACTGTTCGTATTCTGCTAAAATTAATTATTATTTTTGGTCTTTTATATTGATTAGAACTATTTGATAGATGTGGTTTAAAAAGTAGCAGAATAAATACATAAAGTATGCACGCATTTTTTTCTAGACTTTGGTAAGTGTGTACAAGACATGCTCACCAAAAGACTCTGAAAAATGAATCCATTGTTTTTGTTTTGTGTACACACACACACACACACACACACTACATTCAGAGGCAGAGGCAGTTTGATGCAATGGTTAAGCCATTGAATTCTAGTCCCACTTTGGGCAGAAAGCCAGCTAGGTGATCTTGAGCCAGTCACTTTCAGCCACAAAAAAGCAAGCAATGGCAAATCACTTTCAAAATCTTGCCAAGAAAACTGCAGGCAACTGTCTCTAGGCAATCGCCAAGAATCAGTTATCACTCAAAGGCACATCGACATAAGAGGCAGATTCAACAAAACAGTGCTTTAGTTTGCTGTGGATCCATGAGCTTGTCAATGACTTCTTATATAATGGGCGGTACTCGGTTGCTTTGAAGAAGATGGTAGTGTGCTACTTGTTGAAAAGCCTGTCTTTCAATCCCGTGACCCTGGATAATCACTCACCAGCATCAAACTTCCTTTTTGGGGGGGAAAGTTGCTGTTGGTATCATGATGGCAGATCAGCTATACAACCCCTGTGAGAAAGTGAGCTATCTTAATCCTTTTCAATCTAGGTTCAAGGCTGGGTATATGACTGAGATGGCACTAGCTATTCTCATGGATGACCTGGGTCAGGACTTACACAAGTGCACCTCATCTGGTCCTTTTAGAGGTCTAAATAGCCCTCTGTGCTATCAGCTGTGATGTCTTATGAAACTGCCAATACTGTGTAAGTTGAAGATTAGCGACAATATTTTACAGTACTTCTTTTTATGTAGATGATTTTAGCCTGTGTGGAGGGAAGGGCCTTCATTTATGAGATACAGTAGTACTTGACCCTTATTTTTTTAACATCTGTGTCAAACTGCTGGGGAGGAACTGTGCACCATTCTCCTGGATTGTGAGGGAGATGCTGCTGTTGTTCTGTTCCAGAGGTGTGGAAGATATAAGGTTCTTTATGGGAGTTCAGTTTCAGACTGAACTCACGCAACATGGACTTCATATATCGGTGCTCTGTTTTAGTGCCAGTGGTTTCTCTGGTCAGACAAAAACTATCCAAATCAAGAACATATTATTATTTTTGTACATTCTTATGGACAGAAAGCTCCTGCCTGAACAACGGGTAGAGAACCTGATTGAGGAGGACTTTTTCCCAGCTTTTAGCTAGTGCACTAATTATATCCTTTTCTGGTTCAGAAGGATCCCACAACAATAACTCCTGCCCTCACACAGACTGTGTCTATGTCTTTAAAATCTTTCAAGATTACTTGGAAATTGCAAGCAGTAGAGAATTGCAAGCAGTTGCTGGCTTAATTGGCTTCTGACAATGGGAGCATGTTAGAAATCTACTGTAGACTTTTGGCTAGTTATGAGTTCCTTTTGGAGTATAATTTAAAATGCTGATGTTAACCTTTAAAGGCCTCCATGTTTGGCCCCTGGGTACCTTTAGGGCCACCTCCTCTGAATATATTTGGATGGGTCCTTTATGGAGATGTTCCTTGTTGTCTCACATTTATAGGATGTCAGGGGAGCCAAAGCTAAAGAATGGGCTTCTCACTGAGATCAGGTTGTCTCTTCTGTAGCTTCTTGGAATAACTTCTTCAAAGAACTTTTCAGTAACATGTTGTTTTCCTTTGAAAGTCTGTCAAAAGATCTATAAACTCAAAAGCCATACAACCTCAAATTGGTAGGCTAAAGGATGCCAAAGGTTGATTAGTAACAGATTCAAAAGAAATAAAAGGAAGATGGAAGTATACTGAACAACTATACAGTAGAGATATCAACTTTCAATATACTTGGAATATATTTCTTATTTACAAGAACATATAGAAATAGAAGATTGAGTTAGATCAGCACTTGGTCACTACCAAGGTAATAAAATTTCTGATGAAATATACATTGAAATATACAAGCAGCAGAAGATCAAAGTTCTAACCAAAAGTTTAACCAAGTTATACCAGGAAATCTGGAGAACAACAACACCATGGCCAACCATTCCAACACCAAAACAAGGAGACTTAACAGAGTATGCAAACTATTGTACAATATCCTTAATTTCACATGATAGTAAAATAACATGTAGGATAATCCAACAAAAAAGAAATGGGGGAACACAAGATGTTATTGCTAATGCAGGCTAGATATTTGAGAAAGTCAAAGAATACCAAAAAGAAGTCAATATGTACTTCACTGATTATAGAAAAGTCTTTAATTTTGCTGATCACATCAAGCTACAGAAAGTGCTCAGAAAAATGGGAGTTTCAGAACATCTCCTTGTCCTCATGAGAAACTTTTATGCATTTATAAACTTTATATGGATAGAACATGGTGAAAAAAGACTGATTCCAGCTTGGCAAAGGAGTGTGATAAGATTTCACACTACACTCCCTCCTTATTTATTCAACTTACAGTATATGTGGAACCTACATTAAGGGAAACTAAATTGGAAGAAGATGAGTGTGGTTTTAAAATGGGAGGAGGAAACATCAGTAACCTGTGCTGGTGATACTACCTTGATAATGAAAAATACAAAGGGACTGGAAGCCCTAGTATTAAAAGTCAAAGAGCAGAGCAGAAAAAAATGAAATAAAAAGAATGCCAAACTGATGACGACAGGTAGAAAAAACAACCAGCCTTAGAACTGATAATAAAATTATTGAAGTGGTGGATAGTTTCTGCCTTTTATGACTAACCATCAACAGTAAAAGAACAAGCAGTTAGGAAATACGTTGCAGACGAACTCAATAGAGCAGCCATAAAGGACTTGGAAAAGATCTTCAAATGCCACATTGTGTCTGCACGTACAATATAGCAAAGATCAGAATCGTGCAAGCCATGATATTTCCTGTGACAATCTCTGGAAGTGAAAGTTGGACTCTATAAAAACAGGATGTGAAGCTTTTTGATGCCTTTGAACATTGATGTTGAGGAAGACTCCTGAGAATACCATGGACATCCAAAAGACAAACCAATGGATCATTGAACAAATCAGCCCAGAATTTTCATTCAAGGTACAAAAGACCAGAATCAAATTATCCCATGTTAGGCATAAAATGTGAAGGCCCAGCTCTATGGAAAAGGCTTTAATGCTGAGACAGTTGAAAGGAAAAGAAGAGGACAATCACCATTGAGTTGAATGGACTGTTGGGAGACTTGGAAAAAAAAATGGTTAGGAATGGATCATCATGGAGAAAATCTATGCAGTCACTAGTAGTCGAAAACAACTTGATGGCACATAATCGATCAGTTCTTTTAATTGCTTACATTATAGCATATCGTGCCTGCTGTGAACTGCAAAGCCTAAGGTTTTACACAGTTACGGAATACTTGGAAAAATATGACTGTTTATGTTTTTTTTATTTCTGGACTTTACATTTAATTACATGTAGCAGATGGAAGAATTTGAAGTGCCAGAAAAAGCTGTTTTTTAAAGGGGGGGGGGAAGGGTGGACAGAATAGGATATAAAATAATACCCTAGTGTATCATCAGTTTAAACTATCGACCTTAACATTAACGTTCAACAAAAGAATATAAAAACCTACTCAGGAAAGGAAACGAGCATCCCAAATTAATGGAATAAAACTGCTTCGAAGATTTCATTTTTTGTGCTTCATCAAACATATTACTGATAATTTCGGCAGATGATGTCATTATTGGGTCCTTAAAAAAGCCTGGGAACTAGTTCCAATTACATAATTTAATACTGCCCTGGTTCTGCACAGAATTCTAGTCATTTAGCTCAGAAATATATTGTAAACGTTATCCATGCTTGCAGCTGATTTTCTCAAGGGATAGAGACTTCAGAGTGCATTAAATATAAATACGATATTTCCTCTTCCTCAGCTCAAGCTTCATTCCTTTACATAAAAATATAATCATAGTTGAAGTTTTGAGAATGCTGAAGTAATACTAGATGTTCTTCTCTTTTCTGTTTGCTAGCCATTTGCAAGCTTGCAGAAGTTTATTTCATTTTAAGATGACGCTTGTGTGTCTGAAGGAGAAAGCAAAGCAAAGAAGTTGACATTTTGTTATACAGGTTCATTTCCAGAGAACATAGTTATTTCTGGGGCTGGAGCATGATCTGTGAAAGAATAGCAGAATAACGTGAGTTGGAAATGGGGGTGTTGTAGTCCAAACCCTTGCTCACGTAGGAAATCCTGCCCCACTTTCAGACAAGTGATGATCCAGTCTCTTCTTCAAAACGTCCAGCGTTGGAGCATTCACAACTTATGGAGGCCAGTTGCTCCACTGATGAATTGTTCTCACTGTCAGGAAATTCCTCCTTCGTTCTAGGTTATGGTTGAGTAGACTTTGATGATTTATGATGATACGTGTTGGACAAGGGTTCTGAATTAGCGTGATCAATTTTTATGTATTAATGTTACGGTGATTTTTTTTAAAATTATGTTGTTGACAGCATGTTGATTATTATTGTGAGTCACTTGTAGTCATGATGATGGAAACAGCCCGGGAGTGTTTGAAATAAACAAGCAAATATATAAAGTATTCTTTGACCAAGGCTAGTGGCATTATGAGCGGTAAATGAGGGCTCCAGTCCTTTACTCCGTCTTCAGCTAATGCTAGCCTCCATTCTAGTGTAAGTAAATACAGTAACCCTATTATGAACAAATTGAATGGAGTGGGGTAACCCTAAAGAAGGAAGCACAAGCTCATCTGTTCCTATCACTTGTTCTGGCTGGAGTGAACCAGCAGGGCTTTGTATGTAGTAATTACTCTTCTATAGGTTTTATACACACACGATTGAGACCAGTTTCTATACTTCATTTTTCTGAACGTTTTGGGATGAAAGTGATTGTTTCCACCAATAAGTTTCTGCCTATTTGACATTTCTGAATGTTGTTGACAAAAGGCCTTTAAATCACATACTTGCCCTTCATTTCTCCCACAGCCCAGCAACCTTCAAAGCCTCCTTTTGCCCACCCAATATTTTAGCAGATCTTAAAAGGTCAACAGAAAGATTCTTTTACTTGTTTTCAGGACACTTGGCCTTGTTAAACAACCAAAGCTGTCTGCACTTAGATGCTGGATACTTAATTGTATGTAGGAGTTCAGATGATGAGAAGAGAGAATTTTCACCAAGTATGCACATTAAATACTGATATGTACCCAAGAATAATAAAATAATAATAATAAAATTGTGTGTTTGATTTAAAAGTAACAGATAATGTGGATCATGAGGGTTGTGATATAATCAAACTTTAAACGTGTTCTAACTCGCTGGTGAAAAATAGGTTTCTGCAAATGGTTTGACAAATTTGAATTTGCTGTGGTCCAGTGAAAAGTTAAAGCCACTATTTCTACAATCAGAGTGCTAGCTTTTCATTTCACTTGTTTGTTTTTAAATTTGAAATGGCTTGTTTTCTCTTCACTTGTAGCACTTGCTCCCTTGTTGCTAGGGGGTATTGCCTTCTTTAAGGAGAAAAAAAAATGGTTGTGTTTTACCAAAAAATGCAGGGTTACTGAGATCACAGAATCTCAGAAATGGATTTGTTTTCTTCACCCCTAATCCTTTTCTCGTTAGTTCCAATCTTTTAATTATCTAACCTTTTAGTGTATGTTTTTAAGGGTGGTGGAGAGACGGCTACATATAAAATATTTGTTATTTGTACTTTATATCCTTTTCAGTGAAGTTATTTTTGGATCCATGACTAAAACATCCCAAATTAATCCTTCCATAAAGAAAATGACAGTGATTTTAGATTTTTGTGTGACTGTATTCACTGTTAATGAGGGGAGGAAACATTTCAGTTTGTATTAGGACTAACACTGAATTATACTGCATAGTTACAGACAGGTGGAACTTGAAACAGCTTCCATTTTTGTTGCTTATTATTATGGTGTAGCAGAATTCTACACAAATTTATCCTTAAGTAAACATTATGACGTTCATATTCACTGTTTAAGATAAGAATGCATAAGGACAGTAGCTCAGTTAGTTGTGATAGACCATGATGAGCTTATCTTGTTGAATGAAGTACTAATTATATGCAATAAAATCTGTTGAAAATTTCAGTTCATATTTGTGTATGAATATAACATTCAAATGTGGTAAACAGAAAACAATACTTTAGGGAGAGCAGTACTGATTTTATTTGTTGCCATCTATTTAGGTGGGTTTCTTGGAGTGGTTTACCATTGCCTTCCCGTGCACAGTATGAATCGATGCCCTTGCCATTTAGTAGTATTGCCACTAAAATGCCATTGGCACATCTTTTTCCAGCATATTTTTATATCGCTGCTGCCCAATATAGAGGACTGCTTGTTTTAGCAGGATAGCTTCATGCCTTGGGTGGTGACCCTGCTGGGAATATATACCTTGGCATATACTCCTAAAGGTCTTTTGCTTATCCCTCCCAAGAGCACACATGTCCTAATGTCAACTATAACATTTTATATGTCAGTGAAAATTTAAAATTAAGTTGAACTAATTAATCTGCTTCTGGGGCAATTGGGACAGTTGGCCAAAGGGACAGTTTTCAGTCACAAGAGAGGGTCTACATCTTATAAAGACTGAATACAATTTCTTCGGAAGGCATTTTACCAAGGTCAACTGGAAGGTTTTAAACTAAACCTGGAAAGGAAGAGATACAGAAGCCACCATGAATTTGTTAAAAAGAAGTCATGTCGGTCAAATTTCATTGCTTGCTTTGACTAGATTAGCAGAACAAGGAAATGCTGTGCATATTAGCATATTTAGACATCAGTAAGGCATTTGATAAAGTAGACTTCAGCTTCCTTTTTGATAAAATGGAACGGTGTGCATTCTGCACTACTTAAAGTCTATTGGGGTTGAATACGCACACACACACATAATATAATATACATAAAATACTACACACACACACACACACACACACACACACACACACAATGTCTTAGTAAGACCACTTGGAATACTACATCCGGTTTTGGTTGCCATAGTATAAAAAAGATGTTGAGAGTCTAGAGTGCAGAGAAGAGCAACAAAGGTGATTAGTGGACTGGAGGCTAAAACATATAAAGAACGGTTGCTGGAATTGGGTATGTCAAGTTTAATAAAAAGAAGGACTAGGAGTGACGTGATAGCAGTGATCCAATTTCTAAGGTGCTGCCACAAAGAAAAGGGGGTCAGATTATTCTCCAAAGCACCTGTATCAGGCAGGATAAGAAGCAATGGATGGAAACTAATCAAGGAGAAAAGCAAACCTAGAATTGAGAAATTTCTTGACAGTTACAACAATTCATCAGTGGAGCAACTTGCCTCCAGAAGTTGTGAATGCTCCAACACTGGAAGTTTTTAAGATGAGATTGGACAACCGTTTGTCTGAAATAGTAGAGGGTTTCCTGGAAATAGTATAGGGGGTTGGACTAAAAGACCTCCAAGATCCCTTCCAAATAAATCTCTTATTCTGTTAAAGCTAAAATTAACTCAGGAAAAGATAATCAGACTCCTTATTTGGCTTTAAGAAGGACGGCACTTTGCATGATGACATTGGCACTTCTCAAATCACAGTTGGTTAAACAAATGCCAGAAAATTGCTATAGGAAAATTGTCTGTTTTCCTCAGCTTCTATTAATAATAGAAAGTTGGCGTCTTGCAAGTGATTATTGGGCCGAATTTTAAAACTGATTTAACTGACAGGAGGAAATAATTCCTTAACATTAAAAAATAGAATAAATCAGTGATTTGATCTGTCCAGTAAGTTATTTTTCCAGTGTACTTAATGAGATCATTAGGATTAGATTTTCTTCCTATATAGAACCTTGGCAATCTACCAATATTTACAGTGCTGTAATGAATCCAGTTCAAAACCAAAGCAATTCATACAAATGCTTTACCACACTAAAATATTTTCATTCACATTTAAGACTCTTATTTCAGAACTCAAATATAGAAAATATAAACACTATTTTATTTTAAAAATGTTATGCTCTCCTTCCACATTTAATTTTGAACGCAATAATAAATAACTATGATCCAGAGGAGAAACATTTTAATGTATTTAAAGAGATATTTTTCACAATATTATTTATGTGTGAAGCTACTTTATTTCCAAATGTGAATATGAACATTGAATGCCCTGTAATATTTAAACATGTGATTAATTTTAAATTATATTGTAGGTTGTATACACTGATGTTGTATACACTGATTTTAGATTATGTGTTGATTATTTCATCATTTGGAATAATTCTTGTTTGCATTTTTTTTCTTCCAATATGCTGGCATTCCATTTCATGGTAGTCTCCCATGCTTTCTTTTAATAAGCTTTAAGATTAAGTGGAGTAGTGTTGCAGTTATTAATAAGAGAGAAGGAATTCCTGTCAGTCATAAAAGCAAACAGATTATATTCTTCCAATAAATTTACTGTAGCAAGCAATACATTTAGAATTAGAATAACAAGTCCTGAATTAACTTGGGATCTTGCAAATGAAGGCAAATGTATGTGTCCCAGGATAACGTTGCAGGATCCAATCTGAGTTGGTCACCGGAACCAAAGTTTTATTCTTCCAAGCTTTCAGGCTAGTGCTGGAGTCCATTCCTAGGGAACTTGTCCAAAATCCTAAATTCGGATCTTCACACCTTTTGTCAAGAACTAACCAGAAACTATCTGTGGGACATAGTAACAGTCATAAATATGAACCAGAGGCCAAGCATTTGAATTTTGATCGCATGATCATGGAGACATTACAAAGGTTGTAACCAGTAGCGGGATTCATTTTTTTTTTACTTCCGTTTCTGTGGGTTTGGCTTAGCGGGCATGGTGTGGCTTGATGGGCATGACTTGGTGGGCGTGGCAGGGGAAGGACATTGCAAAATCCCCATTCCCTTCCCACCCCACTAACCTGCTTTCCAGCTCCATTCTCCTGTGCAGGGCAACAAAAGAAGACCCAGCCAATCAGCTGGGACTCTGGAGGCAGAGAATAGTTGGGGAAGGGCCAACCAGAGGTGGTATTTGCCGGTTCTCCAAACTACTCAAAATTTCCACTACTGGTTCTCCAGAACTGGTCAGAACCTGCTGAATACCACCTCTGGTTGTAACTGTGAAAAACGGTCATAAGTAATTTTATTCAGCATTATTACAACTTTGAACAGTCTCTAAAATAACTGTTGTAAATTGAGGATGACTACTTACATAAACACACTCTCACTTACTGAAGAACATAGGTTAATAAGAAAGACCTCATAGTTTTATAACTGTGGTTGTGCAAACATTCATGTATCTGAGCTTTTTAACAATCAGTTATAAAGCAAAGTGAAGCATCTATAAATGAAATATGAAATTGAATTTTTTGGGAAGTAAAATAGCAATAGCAACAGCACTTAGGCTTGTATACCACCCATTGTACTTTAAAGCACCCTCTGGGCGATTCACAATGTAGAAGCATTACTTGCTTATTGTCCCCAACAATCTGGATCCTCATTTTACTGACCTTGGAAGGATGGAAGGCTGAGTCAACCTTAAGTCCCATCAGGATCGAACTCCCGACTGTGGGCAGTTTACCTGCAATACTGCATTGCAACCACAGTGCCATCAGGGTTCCTAGTAAATTTCTGAATGGTCCCTATATGTATACAATTAAATAATGATTTAAAAATTACTCGTTTTTGCTTATTTGAAGACCGGGCATCCTTCTCTCCCAACGCAATGTATTTATTCAAATTATCTGAAATTCATTCGCGATTCATAATTAAAAACATGGATTGATGTAATACATTTTTAGCATGAAGGAAAAACAAGCAACGACGGCTGTTCTCTACCTCCCACCACCACCAAACACACACACACAGAGTCCAGCAATCCAAATATAATGTGTTCTTCAGGCAGTGGGATACATTCAGAGGATTTGATGGGAATGCCAAAAAAAACAAGCGCAGAAGAACTGTTCCCGTTATAAGAGGAAATGCAGAATTTCTGATTGGGGTGAAATCGAGGGAAGCAAAATGGCAGAGTTTGGATATTTTCTTCCTGTTCTGTGCAAATCTGTAAGATCAAGTTTAATGGACCACAGAGTGTGCCTTTTATCATTCCTAGGGCAAGGCACCCACGCTTCCCAGACAAAAACAAAAACTGCTGTTTTGGTGGGGGGAATAGGGAAAACATTTCTTTGTGCCGTTATGCACAGATCCACTTGATAACTGATCAGTTGAATCTGTTGCTTTGATAGAGGTTACAGAGCCGACGAAATTTTAGTTTTGTACTTCTCCCATGCTGTGCATCATACACGGGAAAGTCCATTTTCCTGCTTTTAGCATCCTGCTCATTCTTATATGAATAGAATATGCTGGGGTTATGAAATATTTATTAAAGTAAAGTAGGTTCTTTAGAACATGGGTCACTATGTTGTGGCTGTCACATAAGACCCTTGGCTGCATTCTCATCAGCCCATTGCTGACAATTGCTGGTTTCTTGCTGCTAATAGCAGCCTGCAGCTAACTAACATAACCAAAAATGTTGTTTGATATGTTTTAGAAGAATTAGTACATCCATGCAGGTACAATATTGTGATAGTTTTTCCATAAACACTATACATTTGGGTCAAAGCATAAGCATGTCAAAAAGACTAATTCCTTAATAAAGAAGATATTTACTAATAGCACATACTATACATTTCATATTGGCTTGTTTGCCTTTATTCCTCGTTTTTTTTTTTTTTTTCATATAAATTTTATTGAATTTACAATTAAAAAAATAACATAACAACATTACATAAGAAACAGAGAGAGAAAAAGAAGAAAGAAAGAAGAGAAAGAGAGAGGAAAAAAAAAAACGCTCGGTCTTGCGACCGAAAAAGGAGAAGAAGAAGTATAAAAGAGAGAAAAACAAAAAACAAAAAAACAAAGAGACGGAAGAAAAAAGAAAATACGTTAAAACCAGACAAATATTCTTTTTGACAGTCTACAAGATCCAATTCTCCTACCTTACTTTAAATATACACATCTTATCGCTATTTATGGATATTTATGCTTATTTATGCTCATTAAACAGTTTATCTCTGATATAACCAATTATACCATGCATTCCAATTATTATCAAATGCTGAAGACTCTTTATTTTTAAGAGCTATGGTTAAATTGTCCATTTCTGCGCAGTCACATATTTTCTGAATGACCAATTGATCTATAGGTAAACGGGATGATTTCCAGCACTGGGCAAATGCTAATCTGGCCGCAGTTAGAATATGAATTATTATGTATTTCGTCTTTTTAGGAAAATGTTTATCAGAGATCCCTAGTAGGAAGAACTCTGGTTTGTATTCAATTTGATCTTTGGTTATCTCCTCCAGCCATTTTCTAATTTTTTGCCAGTATTTCTGGGCTTCTTTACAGGTCCACCACATATGAAAGTAGGTTCCCTCTATGTTTTTACATTTCCAACATTTTGGACTAGAGTTTGGGTTCATTTTCGCTAACCTCGAAGGGGGTAAGTGCCATCTATATAACATTTTATACATATTTTCTTTGTACGCTGCAGATTTCGTAATCTTAATGATTCTATTCCAGATCTTTTCCCATTCTGTTAATGTAATGCTTCTTCCAATATTCCTACTCCACATTATCATGTTCCCTTTCACTATCTCTTGCTCTAATTCTACCTACAATAAATATTTATAAAATTTAGAAATATTCTTTTTATTTGATCCTAATAAGATTTTATCTAAGTGTTGTAATTTGCTATAAATTCCAAACTCTTTGATATCTTGTTTGTATCTACTATGGATTTGTATATATAACCACTGATCAATTTTAAATCCCTGTTCCTGTAAGTCCTGTCGAGTTCTTAGTTTCCCTAAAGGATCTAATAAATCTTTATATTTAGTCATTTTTGTTATATCCAAATTGTTGGGATGAACCATTGCCTCCATTGTTGAAAGCCAAATCGGAATTTTTAAATAATGTTTTTTACATATTTTTTTCCAATTAGTTAATAGTGAATCTCTAATAAGATGTCTATGAAAGTACGCCTGTTTAGTTTTCCCCACATCCCATAGAAATGCGTGCCATCCTCTCTGAAGGTCGTGCCCTTCCAAGGCTAGAGTTCTTTTATTCCGTAAATTGACCCAGTCTTTTAACCATAGTAAGTTGGCTGCCCAATAATATAATTCCCAGTTTGGAAGCGCTAGCCCACCTCTACTTTTTGCATCTTGTAAGGCCTTAATACTGATTCTAGCTTTTTTCCCTTGCCAAATAAATTTAAGAGTTACCTTATTTATATCATCAAAAAAATTTTTTGGTAATTTTATTGGGATTGTCTGGAATAAGTAAAGGAGTTTTGGTAAAATGTTCATTTTGATTGTGGCAATCCTGCCCAGTAAAGAAAGCTGCAACTTATTCCAGGATTCTAGATCTTTCTTAATTTGCTGTAACAGTTTATCATAATTATTCTCTTTGAGTGATTTACTATGTGGTGTTAACCATATGCCTATATTCCTCGGTTTTTTTTTCTGTGCGTTAACTTACTTACTACACGAGCATTGGGATTTCTTTCCCAAATAATTTGGGAGGGCAGTACATTCAACTGAGCTGAACTATGGTTTTGAAATACTTAAATGAACTTTAGCCTTGGAATTCTGGTGCCAGTATTTTTTGCCCAGTGTGCGCATATGCTGCAAACATTTTGGGGTGACTTATAGTAATTTGTAGTTCACTTAGATGTTTCAATTTCCTACTTTTAGGTTTCTTTGGGTCTTTTCTGTTTTG